GCCCCCCCTTCTGGGGCGGGCCTTGGCGGGGCCGGGGCGGTTTTTTTTTTGGCCGGCCCCCTTTGGGGGGGCGCCCTGGTTCTTGGCTTTTTAAGTCCTACCGGGGAGCCTTCGTTTCGGGGTGCCGCTCTCTGGGGCGGCCTGGCGGGGCGGGCGGCTGTCTCTGCCGCCGCCTCGAGTGAGCCTCGTGTCGCTCTTTGTCTACTCGAGCCTCGTCTCGTGTGCCGCCTCGTGGGCGGCGTGGCGGGCGGGCGGCTGCCACCGCCGCCGCCTCGAGTGAGCCTCGTCTCGCTCTTTGTCTACTCGAGCCTCGTCTCGTGTGCCACCTCGTGGGCGGCGAAGCGGGCGGGCGGCTGTCTCTGCCTCCGCCTCGAGTGCGCCTCGTCTCGCTCTTTGTCTACTCGAGCCTTCTCTCGTGTGCCGCCTCGTGGGCGCCGTAGCAGGCGGGCGGCTGTCTCTGCCGCCGCCTCGAGTGAGCCTCGTCTCGCTCTTCGTCTACTCGAGCCTCGTCTCGTGTGCCGCCTTGTGGGCGGCGTGGCGTGGCGGGCGGCTGTCTCTGCCGCCGCCTCGAGTGAGCCTCGTCTCGCTCTTCGTCTACTCGAGCCTCGTCTCGTGTGCCGCCTTGTGGGCCGCGTCGTCTCGTGTGCCACCTCGTGGGCGGCGTGGCGGGCGGGCGGCTGTCTCTGCCGCCGCCTCGAGTGAGCCTCGTCTCGCTCTTCGTCTACTCGAGCCTCGCCTCGTGTTCGTCTCGCTCTTAAACTACTCGAGCCTCGTCTCGTGTGCCGCCTCATGGGAGGCGTGGCGGGCGGGCGGCTGTCTCTGCCGCCGCCTCGAGTGAGCCTCGTCTCGCTCTTCGTCTACTCGAGCCTCGTCTCGTGTGCCGCCTCGTGGGCGGCGTGGCGTGGCGGGCGGCTGTCTCTGCCGCCGCCTCGAGTGAGCCTCGTCTCGCTCTGAGTCTACTCGAGCCTCGTCTCGTGTGCCGCCTCGTGGGCGGCGTGGCGGGCGGGCGGCTGTCTCTGCCTCTGCCTCGAGTGAGCCTCGTCTCGCTCTTCGTCTACTCGAGCCTCGTCTCGTGTGCCGCCTCGTGGGCGGCGTGGCGGGCGGGCGGCTGTCTCTGACGCCGCCTCGAGTGCGCCTCGTCTCGCTCTTCGTCTACTCGAGCCTCGTCTCGTGTGCCGCCTTGTGGGCGGCGTGGCGGGCGGGCGGCTGTCTCTGCCGCCGCCTCGAGTGAGCCTCGTCTCGCTCTTCGTCTACTCGAGCCTCGTCTCGTGTGCCGCCCTGTGGGCGGCGTGGCGTGGGCGGCGGCTGTCTCTGCCGCCGCCTCGAGTGAGCCTCGTCTCGCTCTTCGTCTACTCGAGCCTCGTCTCGTGTGCCGCCTCGCGGGCGGCGTAGCGCGTGGGCGGCTGTCTCTGCCGCCGCCTCGAGTGAGCCTCGTCTCGCTCTTTGTCTACTCGAGCCTCGTCTCGTGTGCCGCCACATGGGCGGCGTGGCGGGCGGGCGGCTGTCTCTGCCTCTGCCTCGAGTGAGCCTCGTCTCGCTCTTCGTCTACTCGAGCCTCGTCTCGTGTGCCGCCTCGTGGGCGGCGTGGCGTGGCGGGCGGCTGTCTCTGCCGCCGCCTCGAGTGAGCCTCGTCTCGCTCTGAGTCTACTCGAGCCTCGTCTCGTGTGCCGCCTCGTGGGCGGCGTGGCGGGCGGGCGGCTGTCTCTGCCGCCGCCTCGAGTGCGCCTCGTCTCGCTCTTCGTCTACTCGAGCCTCGTCTCGTGTGCCGCCTTGTGGGCGGCGTGGCGGGCGGGCGGCTGTCTCTGCCGCCGCCTCGAGTGAGCCTCGTCTCGCTCTTCGTCTACTCGAGCCTCGTCTCGTGTGCCGCCCTGTGGGCGGCGTGGCGTGGGCGGCGGCTGTCTCTGCCGCCGCCTCGAGTGAGCCTCGTCTCGCTCTTCGTCTACTCGAGCCTCGTCTCGTGTGCCGCCTCGCGGGCGGCGTAGCGCGTGGGCGGCTGTCTCTGCCGCCGCCTCGAGTGAGCCTCGTCTCGCTCTTTGTCTACTCGAGCCTCGTCTCGTGTGCCGCCACATGGGCGGCGTGGCGGGCGGGCGGCTGTCTCTGCCTCTGCCTCGAGTGAGCCTCGTCTCGCTCTTCGTCTACTCGAGCCTCGTCTCGTGTGCCGCCTCGTGGGCGGCGTGGCGTGGCGGGCGGCTGTCTCTGCCGCCGCCTCGAGTGAGCCTCGTCTCGCTCTGAGTCTACTCGAGCCTCGTCTCGTGTGCCGCCTCGTGGGCGGCGTGGCGGGCGGGCGGCTGTCTCTGCCGCCGCCTCGAGTGCGCCTCGTCTCGCTCTTCGTCTACTCGAGCCTCGTCTCGTGTGCCACCTCGTGGCCGGCGTGGCGGGCGGGCGGCTGTCTCTGCCGCCGCCTCGAGTGAGCCTCGTCTCGCTCTTCGTCTACTCGAGCCTCGTCTCGTGTGCCGCCTCGTGGGCGGGTTGGCGGGCGGGCGGCTGTCTCTGCCTCCGCCTCGAGTGCGCCTTGTCTCGCTCTTCGTCTACTCGAGCCTCGTCTCGTGTGCCACCTCGTGGGCGGCGTAGCGGGCGGGCGGCTGTCTCTGCCTCCGCCTCGAGTGCGCCTCGTCTCGCTCTTTGTCTCCTCGAGCCTTGTCTCGTGTGCCGCCTCGTGGGCGGCGTGGCGGGCGGGCGGCTGTCTCTGCCGCCGCCTGAGTGAGCCTCGTCTCGCTCTTCGTCAACTCGGGCCTCGTCTCGTGTGCCGCCTCGTGGGCGGCGTGGCGGGCGGGCGGCTGTCTCTGCCGCCGCCTCGGTGAGCCTCGTCTCGCTCTTCGTCAACTCGAGCCTCGGCCTCGTGTGCCGCCTCGTGGGCGGGGTGGCGTGGCGGGCGGCTGTCTCTGCCGCCGCCTCGGGTGCTTCTCGTCTCGCTCTTTGT